GCTGTTAAGTGTTATTTTATAAAATTATAACTGTTTAACTGCAACCTCATTGATTCATTGTTTTCCAACAAGTATAGGCTAGCGACACGAGAAGTTAAAGATAAGGACAACCTGTTGTTTAAAATTAACAGTATTTAAAAATATTGGTTCTTTCCAAGTGGCATATTTACTTATGTTAAGCATCCAAAGTAAGGTTCTTCTTATTCAATATTGTATCAATCATACAACAAGACGTGTATTTAAAATTGTCCGTGTTTATAGCAATTTAAATCCGTTTAATTTAACGAAAAAAACTCGCATAAACGCAAAATGTCTGATGAAAGTGGTGGTGAAAATGGTGGTGAAAATGGTGAAGCAAAAATGTGTCATAAAAATATCATACAAGAAAAACCCCGAAAACTTTCAGTTGGATTAAACACTCTCCCAAAAGCAGAAATAAGGAAAATTATCGGCGTTGAAGCCACAAAAAACGCTAATACCAACCAGGTAAATACTGATAAGAGACCCGCTGCAAAAAACCCAAAAGTAGACATAAACATAGACTCTCATAAAAAAGTAAATAAACCTGATAAAAACTATTCAGTGTTAAATATACAAAATATGGATCCTATATCAAAGTATCAGGATCAGGATGAAACAAACGGAAATATAGAAAGCGTCTTTGACGATCCTTTCAAGCCGAAAAAATCGGTTTCGCGTACACCACCAACTGAAAATAAACGGAATACATTACCAGATATAAACGCAGAGAAAATAAAAAATGATACGGCTACAAAAAGGCCTAGGTCTGAAAATACCCCGGAGCGAGAAATTAAAAGACAATGCAACCAGATGCAAATGGAAACAGAGGAATCAGAAGGCGAAAGTAACCAAAACTTTGAAAATGCAAAACCTGAAGCTGTAAATTTGGAAAATATGATATCCCAAGTTTTTTCTTCCTTGGATGATATCCAAGAAATAGAAAATAAGGTAGGACAGCCATTAGTAAAGGCCGACTGTGAGTCATTGAGAGATGCAACATCCAAGATATACAAATGCCTAACTCTCCTTGTACATAAAATTGGGTATATTGAAAAAGAAAACGTATACCTGACTCAACAGAAAGCCTCACAAATCCTAGAAAAAAACAGCCAAATAACGGAAAATAAAAGAACCTACGCTGATGTGACTGACACCAGAAAAGCATCTGAAGACAAACAGAATGTACCTAAGGAAGATACTTCTTGGACAACGCCAAAAATAAGTAGAAAATTGGAAACTGTAGTAACAATTAGTAATGCAACTGATTCCCGAAATGCACTCCAAACCCTCAAACAGCATATATCATCCAAAAGTGTCGGTACTCTAAAAAATGTAAAACATCTAAAAAATGGCGCTGTAGTGTTGGAAAGCCATAATGAAGACCAGTATAAAAAAACTTAAAAATGTACTTGTTGGAAAAAAGGATATTTCAATAAAGGAAACGTCAAATATGGATTCAATGTTCATGGTTACAGGGATAGCAAAAGGGATAACAAATGAAGAGTTTCTGGAAGATATCATACGACTTAACGACGAAATCGAAACAGACCTGGGAGATAGTATTGAGGGGAAAATTCAGGTGATAGCTAAAAAGCAATGCAGAAATCTCTTTAAAGAAAACTGGATCTTACAAGCACCACCAGAAATTTCAAAATGGTTCCTTAAGAAGCAAACAATAAATTTTGATCTTGTCAAAGTACATGTCTATGAGCATTTCAACTTAGCTTTATGTTATAACTGCTCAGGTTTTGGTCACGTAGCAAAGCACTGCAAAGAAAAACAATGTTGTCACAAATGCGGTGGTGAACATCATGGTGCTGACTGTAGAACAGAAAAACTAATATGCCCTAACTGTACCAAAATGAAACATGAGGAAAACTTATGTCATCACTCTGCACGGGACAATCAGTGCCCGGTACTGAAAAGAAGGTTACTCCAGTACAGGAACAGTATAAACTATACAGCGATAACTACGGCAAATTCATCAGATTTTTTATAAAGAGTACACCAACGCGCCAAAAAAGGAATTTCAGAAGTATAATACACCAAAATGTGCAATCATTAGGGAACTCGGTAGACTTGATAAACGACATGTTAAGTACACATGAAGAATGTCTAATATTATGTGTTACAGAGCATTGGAAATCTGAAGATCAATTAAAGAAACTCGCTATCTTTAATTTCAAATTAATGTCTATGTTTTGTCGGGACGAAGGAAAGCATGGAGGAGTGGCGGTATATTGTAAAGAGGGTACAAACTGTAAACCACGCGAAAATATAAACAATTTGTCTGTTAGTGGTGTTGTGGAATGCGCAGCTGTAGAGTGTAAGCTGGGCAATCAGAAAGCAATTATTGTTAGTGTTTATAGACCACCCTCTGGTGACATTGACACCTTTTTAAATAAAATCGAACGCATACTAGTAAGTATTTTTCATGAGAATAAGTCACTTTTTATTGTAGGAGACTTTAACATAGAAATGATCTTGGAAAACAAGGCAAAAACTAATTTGTGTTCGTTAATGGCGTCATTTAATCTGATCCCAACTGTTGTCGAAAATACCAGGGTATCAAAAAAATCTGCTAGCTGCATAGACAATATTTTTACCAACGCAGAGTATGATAGGGCATTAACATGTGAACATTTTATATCAGATCATAGGGCACAGAGGATTTTGTTACAAATCAACACAAACCAAGAAAAGCATATTAAATATGCACGAATTTTCTCAAAAGAAAACAAGCAAAATTTTCTGTGCTGCCTGAAATCTGAAAAGTGGGCAGAAGTATATGAAATTGAAAAAAGCGATGTAAATAAACAGTGGGACGCCTTTATGCAAGTTTTCAAGCAGTATTTTGATTGGAATTTCCCATACAAAAAACTAGGCAATTATTCCAAATCAAAGGCTACACCAGTTAGTAATGAAGAGCTTAGAGAATGTAAAAGCAATTTAAATACTTATTTATCACTTTCCAGATATTTCCAATATTACAAAGAAGCATATAAAAATGAAAAAAAGAAAATATGACAGATTGTTAGCCAATCTGCGCACTCATACATATGAAAATCGCGTAAAAAATGCAGACAATAAGACAAAATGTATGTGGGCAATATGTAAGGAAATTAATGGAAAAAATAAGTCGCCAGATATTCAGGTTGAGGGAAGTTCTGATCAAATTGCATGTAGCTATAATGAATATTTATTATCTATAGTGCCCGATTTGTTGAAAAAACTAGTTAATGTCTCTTTCAAATCTAGCATAAGTCAAAACACTAGATCTATGTTTTTAAAGTCAGTAACACCTGCAGAAATATGTGAAATTTCAAAAAAATTGAAAAACAAACATAGTTGTGGTGTAGATGATATTCCAACGAGTATTGTTAAGATGATAATGTGGGAGCTGAAGGATATAATATGTTATATAATAAATAACTCATTTGGATGTGGAGTGTTTCCGGATAGTTTAAAAATAGCACTTATTAAACCTTTATATAAGAAAGCAGACCCTGGAAAACTTGATAACTACAGACCAATCAGCTTGCTGCCCAGTTTCTCTAAGATTTTTGAAAGTGCAATGAGTATCAGACTTAAGGATTTTTTGACCGAATGTAATATCATTGCTGATTCCCAACATGGATTTATTAAAGGAAAATCAACACAAACAGCAATTTTTAATTTCATTCGATTAATATTAGAGTATCTCGAGGATGGGCAGTTGGCAATTGGGATGTTTCTAGATTTGTCAAAAGCATATGACTGCTTAGATAGGGACCTTCTTATAAATAAACTAGAAATGTATGGGGTAAGAGGTAATGCTAATAAATGGATTAAATCATATCTTACCAATAGAAAACAAATTGTAACAATTACTAAAGCAGGCAAAACTAGTAGGTCCGAAGTGCTAGTGAATAATATAGGGATAGCGCAAGGAAGCATTCTGGGTCCAATGCTTTTCATTATATTTATAAACGATATAACTCAATTAATCACAGCGCCAAATACCAATATCATAAATTATGCAGATGACACAAACCTTTTAATTGGCTGTAAAAAGATCGATGATTTGATTATGGGTGCAAACGATTTTCTTTCACAAGTTAAGTTACAAATTGGTTTAATGAAAACAGATTAATTTTGAATCAAGAGAAAACTAATATTATAATTTTTAGAACAAAAACATCAAACATAAGTAAGCCAAGCCAGTTACGAACTAATGACAAGAATTTAGATATTTCTGAAAACACAATGTTTTTAGTTGTCAATATCAATGAGTTTTTGGACTGGTCAGGGCATATAGACATTTTAATAAAAAAACTAAACTCAGTATGCTTTGGAATAAGAGTTGTTGCCAAATACATGAACGAGAAGACTCTTAGAATAATATATTTTGCCAATTTTGAGGCAGTGTTAAAGTATGGCATTATGTTTTGGGGAGGGGATATTTGAATACAGGATGTTTTTGTGGCTCAAAAACGTGTGGTTAGAGTTATTAAAAAAATGAAATATTTACAGAGTTGCAGGGGTGTATTTAGGGAGTTAAGTATAATGACTGTTTACGCCATATATATTTACGAATGTTTTATTTAAAAAATAGAGAACTGTTTTCTGATCACATTGAACATGGTTATAACACTCGAAATTTAGATGTTAGATATCCTATACATAGATTAACGTTAAGAGAAAAATGTCCACACTACATGTGCCTTAGATTGTATAATAAACTTCCTGATAGTGTCAAGAGAATTGAACAACAGAAACTCTTCAAGAAAGAAGTGAAGAGACTCTTAATAGACTTGGAGCCCTATAATTTAATAGACTTTTATAATGGTGTTTAGAAAGCTAGATATAATTTCTTTTTTGTTTGACGACGTTTCACTTTGTGTTACCATGTAAACAATGTTGAAATAAATAAATAAAATAAAATAAAAAATAAAATGCCCTTGATTGTATTAACACATTAAATTTAAGTATGTACTTACTCTCCGCCTATGGAAAAAACGGGCTTCAATTTCACAATAGAACCGCCGCCTTTGAAATTCACTGCAATATCCATCTTAGAAACGATTGAAATAAATATAAAAACACAAAAAACACGTAAAATACAAAAATAAAATACAAAATCCAAGAGAAATTTTGAAATTTTTAGTGAGGTTATGTCAGATTTTTTCACGTGTTGTGTGCGTTGTTGCCGATTTCGTAGTTTCCGAACTAACTTGTTGCTACTCCAACCAGTCCGACCCAACCGTTCGGGAATGGCTTTTAGCGTGAGTAGAGTAAAGTAACTACGTTCCATTACAAAACGGAGTGGAGTGATTCGTCGAAGGAGTTCTGAGTCTGAGTACTCCGAATGCGTACTAATGCGTAGCGAATTTTTTTCTCTGTCAAAAATAAACTGGAATTGAGATTTTACTCAGTACTCAAATTAAATAGCAAAAATATTGCGGATATTTTGCGTTTCCATTTAAGTTTTTTCCTCTGCAAAAGAAAAGAAAATAAGAAACAAAGATGGCAACAAAAAACACTGCGAATTTCTAATAAAAGTTTAAAATTTATTCAACATCAATTTTTCACCGCAAAGATGGCTCCAAAAATTCCGCTTCGTTCGGGGTGGTTCGGATATACTTTAAACGCTCTCTTTACTCTCAAGAAAACTGCTCTGACTTCACAGCAACTCCGTGTTGAAAAGTCCAAGCAAGTCAAAAGTGTCAAGTGATTCAAGTCATGTCACAGGTCATGTCAAAGTCATAACAAAAAAAATATATAAACATAAACAAAAATGTATAATTTGTTGATTATTTACTTATTTATTTATTTATAAATTTTAATTAATATTTAATTAAAAACTATTTTATATATATAATGGATAATTTGTTAGAATGTAGGACTTGCTTAGGAATGATTCCTAGGAATGAGACAGTACATGTTGAAACGGAAATTATGGAGGAAAAAAGTGTTTTACAAGCCATAAAAGATATCGCATCCCTTGAGGTAATTATTGAATATATTTTATGTTGTTGTTTAAAAAAAAGGATGCAACTTGTAGAATCACTGCAATTGGGGGCCTAGATTTGTAGATAATACTATGTACCTGGTTGTTTAAAAAATGTAATAATAAACGCAAATTATAAATTTAATTTGTTATGCCGGCAAATAGGAAATAACAGCTGAGATTTGAGATTGCAGATATTCAGGCCTATGATGTATCCTCTCCTGTTATTTTAACAGCTGTGTTAAGGTTTAAAGTAAACCCCTATTTTCTGAACCTTGTGTTCAAAAATTCCAAAAAAAATATATGTTTTATGGTTATCGATATACTTTAACACACCGGCTAAACAACCGCCGGCGGTGATGGTATTTGTGGAAAAGAAAACCCTATTCTGGCGCAGGGTTGCCAGACGTCCCACCTTGGGAGGGACAGTCCCGCATTTTGTTAATCGGTCCCGCCTTTTTTTAATTAATTTCAGGTCCCGCTTTTCACGTGAATTGTCCCGGATTTCCCGCTTTTTTCACCCAATCTTCACATTTAGTGCAAAAAAACGCTTGTTACTAGGGTTGCCAGATACTTAAGTTTTGAAAATAGGAGACCCTGTATAAAATTATATGAGATTGGATAATAATATATGAGAATATTTTATGTACTGCGAAATGCCTATAAATCCGAAAAAGCTCCCATCTTGACAATTAGCTATTATGATTTTTAGCAGATTTTGGAATGTATTGCTGGACATTCTTTTAGGTTTTTTTTTAGTTACTAGTTACTTTGCGTTTGGGTTAGAGTAGAGCAGAGTGTGTAGAGTGGAGCCGTAATCACGTGACCGAGGAGCGCACCGAGCAGTTGGACGCTGTATCAGAGGGTTCGACTTCAAAATTCTAATAAACGAACGTGAATAAGCCTGCACCGAGTACCTACACTTTTCGAATAAACGAACTTAAATTCATGCTTGGAGAACTCAGATCAAAATACTGAACGCACAGTAAGATACTCCTCCTGATCCGTCAGTCTAATTTCCAAGTCGAGAACAACTTTTATTTTTATCAATTATCTATACAAAAGCGTCAAAAGTGGAATTTTACTAATTCGACGCCTTATTTGAATTTGGAGATCCATTGTTAACCATTTTAAGCTGAAAACCATTTTCTATTTTAATCCATATTAATCTAATTTGTGAATATTTCAAAAATTTTAAAAATTTTTTGACATTGTTTGAATTTTTGGTTCCTTTACGGTGGGGCAGTTCTTTTACCTTAGAAATTTTGTTTATTGTAACATCAAATCGATTCAATACATAATTTTTTTCAATCATTCTTGAAAGTAGACGTAAAAATATAAAAATAAGTAATTTTGTTATTAAATTTCTTTAATAATATACAGGGTGTATATTTTAAGTGATACCACTATTGCTATATCCGAAACGGTGAGAGCTACAAGGTCGGTTAAATTAGAAAAAAGTTGCCTTTTTTGATGCCCATTCAAGACTTGTTTACAGTGTTGCCAAATTCTTTTTAGTTTATGAAATACAGGGTGATTTCTAAAAAACGCCCAAAATTATTTCATCAATTATTTCGAAAACTATTGATATTCGAGACACACTTCAAATTTGAAAGTTTTATCATTTTTCTCGCCCTAAAACATCAAATCAAATCAAATAACGCTTTATTGTCTAAAGAATAAACTCATTGACAAAGCCTAGAAAATATAAATTTAACCCTAAATTCTAAATCTTAGCAATACTCAATACAAAATAAATTATAGACACATAACTTAGGGCTAGTCAATTGTTCAAATATACTACAAATACTATTCCGATTAGATAAAATTAAGTTAAATACAAAATTTACACAAAAACAGGAATACTTTTCTAAAATCTCGATATAATAGTTAAACAAAACAATCAAAGTAAAAATTAATATAAGATTAAACGACTAAAAAACATCCTTATAGAACTCTTCTAAACTATAGTATGCCTTCAATTTTAGAACGGACTTTACACATTTTACAAAACTCTTAAGATCATGGAGACCCTTCCACTCATCCGGCAAATGATTGTATATCTTTAAACTTTCATACATTAAAGAGTTTTTGGTAAAACCACTCCTGGGTATTGGTAATGGTATATTATGTCCATAACGTGTGTTGTGGATGTTGGGATTTATAAAATGTCTATACTTTTTGTGCACCAAGCAGACAGTCTCCAAAATAAAAATACATGGCAATGTAAGGATTTCTTCCTGAACAAACAATGGCCTACAATGGTCCCTAGCCTTCAATTTGCATAAATACCTAAGCGCCCTCTTCTGTAGGACAAACACAGAATTAAAAAGTTGTTTGTTACAAAAACCCCAAAATGCAATCCCATATCTCAAATGAGACTCGACAAGTGAATAATATACCGACTTAGCCATGAGTGACCCCAGCCGCCCCGTGACAATACGAACAGCAAAGCATCCAGATGCCAATTTCTTGTTCAGACACAATATATGCTCTTTAAATTTTAAATCCGAGTCTATGTGCAAGCCCAGAAACCTGCAGCTAGCCTTATTTGCCACGAAATAATTGTCCACATTCAGATCATCCAACACAAACCTAAAAGAAATAGCACTAGTTTTATTTAAATTGAAACAAAGTAAATTTGCGTCGCACCACTCCTTCACACGTCGTAGGTCTTCAATTATGATATCTTTTAATAAACTAGCATCTTCATCAAGCCACAAGATGGTCGTATCATCTGCAAAAATGGTAAAACGGCCTCGAATATCTAGTCTAGCCAAGTCATTCAAGTACAATAGAAAAAGAACTGGGCCAAGAACCGAACCCTGGGGAACACCGTGTCTCATTGACAGTTCATCTGAGCTACCATCCTCAGAACAAACCACCTGTTTCCTACCTGACAAATAAGACGAAAACCAGTCATACGCCACTCCCCTGAAACCATACTGATGCATTTTCTCCAGCAGTATTCTGTGATTTACACAATCAAATGCTTTCGAAAAATCACAGAAAACCGTTGCAGCCATACTTCCTCCATTCAGACCGACGTACACACTCTCCAGAAGCCTGAACACCGCATCGCTAGTACCCTTAGAGGCTTGAAATCCAAACTGACAACTAGTCAGGATATTGTGACTAGACATGAAGGCTACCATTCTTTTCTTTACAAGCTTTTCAATGATTTTTGAAAGCGTAGGTAACATTGAGATTGGACGAAAATCAGCAGGGTTTTTCGGATCACCACCCTTAAACAGCGGAACAACAACAGCGGTCTTGAGACTAGAAGGAAAACAACCATCGTCAAAAGATTGATTTATTAACATTACCATAATCTCCAAAGCCTGTCTGGGCAAAGCCGCAAACACTCTGAGTGTAAGGTCATCAATGCCAGAGGAATTTTTACTTTTTATCTCTCCAAGGATACCACATATTTCATCAATAACAGTATGTATCAAATAAAAACTGTTCGTTACAGAAACCTCCTGCAGGTACAACATTGGATCAATTTGTGAATTTAAATTTGCTGTTAGTCCATCAGCAACGGAACAATAAAAATCGTTTAATGTGTTAGCATCAACATCAACTTTAGCCTTTGCTGAGCTTGATTTTCCCCGCAAACAGTTTACTATTTTCCAATTCTCTTTAGTTTTATTTTGCGCCCTATCAATCCTATCCCTGTAATACCACTTCTTGGCTGTCTTAATAGTACTCCTATAAATATTTTTGTACCTATCAAAATAGGCCAAGAAAGCTTGGTTTAAAGTGAATTTTCTTATTCTATGCAGACATCTTAAATTTACTGAGGAGTTTCTTATTCCCGAGGTAATCCAGGGCTTTTTGTTTTTCTGCTTTAATTTACGGACAGGAAAATTTGCATTAAAAATTTCAACAACTATACTATTAAATTTATCTAATGAGTTATCCAATCTCAATAATCCCTGCCAATTTATTTTCGCAGCTTGTTCCCTAAAATGTCCAAAGTTTTTAGTACTGTAAATTCTTCCATATCTAAAGGTTTTTGATTTTTTTTCCTGGTGTACATAAATAGATGAAATTATAGCCTCATGGTCAGAGAGACCCGAGGAAATCACAATAGTTTCAGCCCCAAATATGTCCGAAAAATTTGAACAAAGATAATCAATAGTGGTACTGGAATATTTTGAGATACGGGTGGGCTGCTTAATGAGCATCTGCAAATTAAAAGAAATCAGCAAGTCCTTCAGATTCTGAGTGCACATTGACTCAGAATCCTCGTAATTAATATTCAAGTCACCGGCCACTAAGATTTTAGCATTTACTGGTAAGTCCGATAAAAGAATTTCCAGTCTGTCCATAAACTCTTTAATGGTTCCGCTTGGAGGTCTATATACACACAGAATATACAAATTTATCTTAGTAAAATGAACTATTGAAAACTCAAACACGCCTTCAACGAGTAAAAATTCGTATTTACTAATATTAACTATAGAATAAGACTCACACAACTCAGCAGTCATAAGTATCATTGTTCCCCCATGTGCAGACTCTCCTCGACAAAAACTAGCGACTACCAAGTAATTGGGAATGTAGCATGGCTCGTCTGGTTTCAGCCAGTGCTCTGTCAATAATAATAACATGGCATCTTTAAATTTTGAATTCGACGTTTCGTAATCGAGGTACCATCATCAACTTCATTTTTTTGAATACAGACCTGGATTTTTTATGTCATTTTTAGAAAGTGCCCTTTATTCCCTGTCTTAAAGTAACATAAAAAATCCAGGTCCGTATTTGAAAAAGGAAGTTGATGATGGTAGCTCGATCGCGAAACGTCGGATTCAAAATTTGAAGATGCCATGTTCTAGAGCAAAAAAAATTATAAAACTGTTAAATTTAAATTTTGTCTCGAATATCAAGGGTTTTCGAAATAATTGATGAAATAATTTCGGGCGTTTTTTAGAAATCACCCTGTATTTCATAAACTAAAAGGAATTTGGCAACACCGTAAACAAGTCTTGAATAG